TCTTTTTTTTTTTTTTTTTTTTTTTTTTACTTGCGCAGGGCAAATCTGATGAGCTTTTTGTTGTGTTTTCTGAAACAAGTCCCCACAGGAAAAAGGAAAACAGTCGCTGTTATTGAAAGCAGTGCTTGAGAGGTTATCTGCTTTTGCAGTGCTATTGCTTTCCTTCTCACTGGTCTACCTTTCAATACTGCCCCCAATTTTTGTAAAGGGGCGCATATTGGGGGTTGAATGATCTCCTGTAGCAAAATTTCCAACAAGAAGTCACACACATGACGACAGCGATAAATTCGGTGATACCGTCTCAAGCATCCTCTGGCGAATGGCCGCCAATCCCCTCTTTTTAGGCTTTCTCAAGGAAATGTACTGTTCAGCGGCTAGATTACGTCCATATCGAACTACGCCGGGTTATGAAAAGCCGAAAACCATGGGGACCTCCTGAGGCCTGGCCTCCGCCCTCTACTATACCATGGACTTGAAAAAAAAAAAAAAAAAAAAAGACAAGAAAAGAAAAGTCGAAATGAGAAACCAATTGTCAGTGCCAATTAGTCCGTTGTTGTGAACATCTTGCAGCCCTCACATCTTCCCCCGAATACAAGGCATGGCCATTTCAGCTGTATGGAGGCTAACTTACAGGCCAAATACATCTGTGATTACCAGGCTGCTTACTGTGGGGAAGATGGCAGCTAGCTAACGCTGATTCTTAAACTGCCAGTACACAGCCCCGGACAACTTCAAAAAGCTCATGGCTCACGCCTAAGATTTCACAGGCTTGGGGCTACGGGACCGCAATGGCTGGCGGCACCAGCCCAAAAAAAAAAAAGTGTGCCGCTGGCGACTCCGCAAAGCTTGGTGTGCATTGCGGGTCTGCCAAGCTCTAAACCAGTGAGCCCCTGGGCTAAACTGTGGGCCCAAAGAGTTAAACTGTGGACCCAAAGAGCTAACCTGGGACTAAAAGACTGTTTGGATGGAACTACCGCCTTAACCAGAAAACAAGGTACGCACCTTGTATTAAGCTTTCCACCCCGGGCGCCCGGGGTACCCCACCGTGCCCGGAATGGTGCCCGGGGTGCCCGGCTGGGCGACCCCCCCGAGCAGGCACCCGGGCGCCTATCGCACCGAGGCAGAAAAAGCCTCCAATTTCTTTTTCGCGCTGCCACCCTATTCCGAACGTGCCAACTTCCATTTTGGCGGTCGGCGCATTTTTTTTAGGGGTCCAGTACGCCCTGTTTTGTAGGTTTTTTCTTTTTCTTGGATTTTGGCCGTCGATCTCCAGCGATCGACGGCGCGCACTGATCCAGGATACAAAATTTAGTCCTGAGCTTCTCCTTCGTTTATTCTTCTTCTTCTTCTTTCTTCTGTTTTTTCTCTTTCTGTTTCTCTTCTTTTTCTTCTTTTTCTTCGCCTCCCTCCACCTTCCTCTAATGTGGCGCTCCTCCCTCCTCGTGCCCCCTCCATCACCTTGCCGCCCTCCTTCCTCC